GTTCTGTCTGTATTTGAGCATGACGTGTGGACGTGCTCGCGCTGCCCCCGCTGCAGCGCTCGTCACTGGCGCAGCCGGGCAGCGCGGCGCACACTCCGCTTTTTTTGCGGTCAATAGATCAGTTTGACCTGCTAGTTAAAAAGTTACTTGTGAGGTGAAAAAGAAGGAAGCAAGCAGGAGTATTTCTGGAGGACTGGGAGATACAGGAAGATCAGAGACAGACAAGACAGGAAGATAGGAAAATAAAAACCAAGAAAACAAAACAAAGTTCTTAAAAAATAAAATGTAGGTAGATTTATCTCACTACACGTTTCTACCTGTATAAAGCAATAATTTATCAGCATGTAGTATTTATATAGTTGACACAGTTCAGATCATCTTCAAAGCTTTGTCCCATGCTCAGGGACGTATCTAAGCATTTTGGGGGCCGAGGCAAAATAGAGCCCTGCCAGGTATTTTACGTTGAAGTGCTCTCTGTTTTTATATTAGACTTTTTATTTTTGCAATTAAGTCCAAAAGTGAAGAATTTATGTTATTTATTACTTGATTTTCCAAGCTACCTCACAGAAGTGATCTGTTGTTAAACATTAAAATTAAAAGGTAATTAAATAAAAAATAAGGAACATTCTGGAACTATTTCTTCCTTTTCTTTTTTTTATGTATCAAAAGTATCGGATTGGGACTCGGTATCGGCAGATTCTCAAAATCAAATGACTTGGACTGGGACTTGAGGGCAAAAAAACCTGATCGGGACATCCCTACCTATTACTCTGACACTCATTTGTTTATAAAATAAAAAAAGTGGAGAAAGGACAAATTCCTGGGGAGATCCGGTGGAAGATAGAAGTACATCTGATAAAACACCATTAACCCTTACCCTCTGGGGCCTGTTTGTTAAGAAATCCACCAACCAGCAGACTAAGTCCTGATTAATGTGGCGACTGTTTATGAGGCTGTAGTTGTATACTATTAAAAGCTGAGGAACAGTCAATAAAAAGCAGGCAAATAAAATGTTTTGCCCCATCCACATGAGCTAAAATCAGATTAAGTAGGGTCTTGACCACATCATCAACACTCCTGCCAGCTCTATAAGCAAACTGTTAAGAAGAAGAAGAAGAAAATATCTTTTCTATAGCGTCTGTCAAGATAAAAATCACGAGGCGCTTCACAAAAACAAAAAAATTTAAGATGTAAAAAAGAATTTAGAAAATGATTAAAAATATATTTAAAATTAGCAAAAAAAAAGACAATTGTGATTAAAAATGTAAAGAAAGAGAAAGAGTGAATAGGAAAGAGGGAAATCAGTGGATCCTGAGGTAGGTGGAATAGATAGGGAGAGCAGAACAAGGAGAGGGTGATGAAGGTCACACCAAAACCAGCTTGAACGGGTGAGTTTTCAGCTGCTTTTTAAAGGAGACCACTGAGTCCACTGATCTCAGGCTCATGGGGAGAGAGGTGGACCTCTGGAGAGTCTGGGAGCCACAGCAGCAGATGATCTGTCACCTTTGGTCTTTAGCCTGGTGCTGCACAACCAGTAGGCTTTGATCACTGGACCTCAGGGACCTGCTGGAGGTGTAGGGACTGAGAAGATCACCAATGTATGATGGTGCTTGTCCATGTAAGGCCCTAAAGACCAGAACCAGGATCTTGAAATGAACCCTGAAAATAAAGGATCCAAACAGCTTTGAGTTGCTCAGATTTTATGATCCTCTCAAAGGACTTCATGATCAATGAGGTCAGAGCAACTGGTCAAAAGTAGTTTTGTAATTTTGGGCAATGTGCTATAGAAATAAACTTGGTATAATATAGCATGTAAGTAGTTCATAATTGTTGAAACACAGATAGTATTTCATGTTTATGTTTATTTATTTGGCAGACGCTTTAATCCAAAGTGACATACAACTGTTAACCTATAGGGCATGTTGTGATCTGTGGGGGGAACCTGGAGGAAACCCACGCATGCCTGGGAAGAACATGCAACTCCACCCAGAAAGACTGCAGCCGCGTTTCGAACCTGCAACCTTCTTGCCACCAAGCAGCCTTTCATGATTGTTGAAACACAAACTATAGTTTCCTATCTCTAACTGGCAATGCCAAAGAAACAGATTGCAGTAACCAAATTCGACCACAGGATGTCACTATTGCTCAATTCTTATGCATAGCACCTACAGGTGCTGGCCAGTAAATTAGAATATCATCAAAAGGTTGAAAATATTTCAGTAATTCCATTCAAAACGTGAAACTTGTACATTATATTCATGCAATGCACACAGACCAATGTATTTCCAATGTTCATTACATTTAAATTTGATATTTATAGGTGACAACCAATGAAAACATCAAATCTGGTATCTCAGAAAATTAGAATATTCTAAAGGCCAATGAAAAAATGTTTGTTTCTCTAATGTTGGCCAACTGAAAAGAATGAACATGAAAAGAATGTGCATGTATAGCACTCAATACTTAGTCGGGGCTCCTTTTGCCTCAATAACTGCAGTAATGCGGCGTGGCATGGACTCGATCAGTCTGTGGCACTGCTCAGGTGTTATGAGAGCCCAGGTTGCTCTGATAGTCGTCTTCAGCTCCTCTGCATTGTTGGGTCTAGCGTATTGCATCCTCCGCTTCACAATACCCCATAGATTTTCTATGGGGTTAAGGTCAGGCGAGTTTGCTGGCCAATCAAGGACAGGGATACCATGGTCCTTGAACCAGGTGCTGGTGGTTTTGGCACTGTGTGCAGGTGCCAAGTCCTGTTGAAAGGTGAAGTCTGCATCCCCATAAAGTTGGTCAGCAGCAGGAAGCATGAAGTGCTCTAAAACTTCCTGGTAGACGGCTGCATTGACCCTGGACCTCAGGAAACAGAGTGGGCCAACACCGGCAGATGACATGGCACCCCACACCATCACTGACGGTGGAAACTTTACACTGGACCTCATGCAACGTGGATTCTGTGCTTCTCCGCTCTTCCTCCAGACTCTGGGTCCTTGATTTCCAAAGGAAATGCAGAACTTGCTTTCATCAGAAAACATAACTTTGGACCACTCAGCATCAGTCCAGTCCTTTTTGTCCTTGGCCCAGGCGAGACGCTTCTTGCGCTGTTTCTTGTTCAAGAGTGGCTTGACACACGGAATGCGACACCTGAATCCCATGTCTTTCATGAGTCTCCTCGTGGTGGTTCTTGAAGCGCTGACTCCAGCTGCAGTCCACTCTTTGTGGATCTCCCCCACATTTTTGAATGGGTTTGTCGTCACAATTCTCTGCAGGGTGCGGTTATCCCTAGAGCTTGTACACTTTTTTCTACCACATTTTTTCCGTCCCTTCGCCTGTCTGTTAATGTGCTTGGACACAGAGCTCTGCGAACAGCCAGCTTCTTTAGCAATCACCTTTTGTGTCTTGCCCTCCTTGTGCAAGGTGTCAATGATTGTCTTTTGGACAGCTGTTAAGTCAGAAGTCTTCCCCATGATTGTGGTGCCTTCAAAACAAGACTGAGGGACCTTTTAAAGGCCTTTGCAGGTGTTTTGAGTAAATCAGCTGATTAGAGTGGCAGCAGGTGTCTTCTATATTCAGCCTTTTCAGAATATTCTAATTTTTTGAGATACCAAATTTGGAGTTTTCATTAGTTGTCACTTATGAATATCAAATTTAAATGTAATGAACATTGGAAATACATTGGTCTGTGTGCATTGCATGAATATAATGTACAAGTTTCACGTTTTGAATGGAATTACTGAAATATTTTCAACCTTTTGATGATATTCTAATTTACTGGCCAGCACCTGTATATTACTCTGTGTTTTTCTCCACAGAAGGAACTACACTGCTGTTCTGCTGAGCTGTGGTGGCCTCATGGAGGGGCCCATCGGCTGGCACACTGATTGATGTGTCCAATATTATCCTGTCTGTTACTGCTTTACACACCCAGTTAGTTCTAAGCAAATTATATCAGGTAAAATCTTTTCGGAAGATCTTGCCATGATGGTAAATAATCTATATGTCACGGTCTGGGTAATTATCCTGTTTGTTTTCCCTGCAGGTGGGTGTGGCTGAGACTCCCCAGCCGTCTGGCATCATCATCATGGCACCAGAGTATTTAAGGAGCAGCATGACACTTCTCCACGCTGGTTGATTACTCAGTTTGGGTAGATCTGTTTGCCAGTCCTGCACTTAACCCAAGTGTTCTGTTTGCTTAGTATTTTTAACCCGCCTGTTCGCTCTGCTCAGATCCCCGTGTGCTTACACTTACTCCTGCGACAATAACTTAAGATCTTCAAGCCACGTCTCGCTGCTCCCGTCTGGTCGCCCGCTCTCAGTCCCCCACCTCCTTCTACCTCCTGGATCATCCACTCACCCAGACCTGACTCGCCTCCCCCCTGCTTCCCTTCAGCCTGAAGAACGTAAGCCACAGAGACTGTTCTTATCCTCCTGCCTTCTGCCCCCCAAAACCATCAGCATACTCACCTCTGTTCTCCTCTCTAGATTCCGTCCCGCTGAGCGCTCGTCCCCTGAGTCTGCTGTTATTCCTGCTACCTTGCAGTGCGTTTAGTTCCCCTCATTCTCCCTCATTTAATCTTTATAACAAATCTTATTTTTCTTACCTTCTGTTTCTGTGGTGATTCTGTATGTCGTGGGTCCAACACCTGGTACCCAACATGACACTATAGTTTAGACCAGTAACTGGTCTATAGTTTGGGGAAACCAGTTTATCCTTCCCTTCCTTGGAGACACTTGAGATAAAAGCTTCCATCCACAAACTCAGAATTTACCCAGTTAAATGTGATTTTCAGCAGTGGGATCAGTGACTTCCTAAGCAATTTACAATCTTCAGAAGTTTGTTCATCTGTACCTGGAGCCTTGTTTGTCTTCCATTTAGAGATTTACGAATTTCAAAACTGAAGCAGTTGAACAAAAATCAAAACTAAAATGATTGACATTAAAAACAAAACTTAAACACGTTGTGCAACTATTAGTAAGTAATGGCGGTGTGAAAGCTTCAAACTTACAGCTTCTTTAATGATGTCAAAGCGCTTCTCATCTATTTCGAAGGTGGCCATCTTCTCGATGATCTTCTTCAGCAGGATGTGCTGTTTGTCGTTGTAACCTTTGACCGACAGCTACAGAAACAGACGTACATTACTTAAAAATGAGCACCAACAAGCCTTGATCATGTACTCACCTTTGCTTATCCTACTTGCTGTGTACATAAATCAGAGGCTGCTCAGGGAATCACATAAAGCTAATTAAGTCGTCATCAGCTGATTTACAATAAGCACTACGGCATTTTTCCAACTTGTGACGTTTAGGCCTGGCAGTGTGTAAATATAGTCTGTAGGGCAAAGAAATGTCCTAATTGGATGACTATGCAGTTTTCTAAGCCAATTTTTAGTGTTATTATTGTTATTATAATAAAAAAAGAGTGAACGGAACAACTCAGAGGACAGAAAGGTCCAATGCCGTGAGGAAGCTAATAGATACTGGGTTCCAAATCAGAGTAAAGCAAGCAGAAGGTTCCGAGTGAAGATTAGAACAGAGCAAGCAACTCAAAAAGCCCCGTTATGGCGACCAATGAATACTAACGACCTACTTACATGCCTTCCAGCATACATAATACTGGATCCAGGATAGGAACTCAGATTGGGTTCAAATATCTTCTAATATTAGTGAAACTTACAGGACTGGGAGCGGTGTTTTAGCTTTGATGAGTAAAGTGAACAACCCTTATATGATCTGAGGGCTATTAAAGAAGCCAGCATTCTACAAGCTGGAAAAACAAATAACACAATCAAAGAGAGCATAGAAAGTCAAGCCATCTCCTTCTGTTAAAGCCCAGAGCAGTCCCTTCACCGGAACTCACACACGCCCTCCAGACTCCAAACAGCTTCCTTACAACCATCACATTCATCCGTGAGGCTACGCCATATGACGACCCAGCCAGGTGGGCTGCATATGTATACTCTTTTAAATAATCCTTCAGTAATCTGAGAAAAAAGTAGGACATGTTGCAGAGCAGGGAGTCTGCGTAAATGTAGCGACTGATGGAAGGAAGAATGAACAGAAAAAAATCAAATAATAGGATTGTTGGCAACATTATGATAAATAAACTGCATACAACAAAGACTAATTAAAAGAGTATGTATACGCAGCCATGACTAGCTTTCTCCCACAACAACTGGCAACACCTTATAGAAGACTCGTTTCACGATGCCCTTTTTTCTAAATAATTCGATTGATTTGTAGACTACTGCTTCATTTCAAGTTTTTTCTTTTGAAAAAGGATAATGAAGTAAAAGTTCTTTTAAAATAATCTGGTGGGTGAGTAATGCAAATGAACTGATGGGAGAAAAAAAAAATAAATCAGTGTTTGGACCAGCCAAACATGGGTTAGATGACCTAAAATCTTTTCCCAAAAACATTTTTATTGATTATATTTCAAACAAATGACCAATAAAAATGCAGCTTTATCTCATACAGGGTTTTCTAACCTTAATGCACTTCAGAAAAGTCTGTAATTCCTGGTAACCCAGGATCAGCTGACCCATGGAAACTCAGCCTGAAGATGAGTAGGAGTTGGGGGGAGGGGCTCTATAATACTTACATACATCCCATAGACGGTATTTTGGAGGTCATAGTTCAATCCAGCTAGCTCGGCTGCATATGCATACTCGTTGAGGGAGTCCTTGAGGAGCTCCAGGTACAAATATGCCATGTTGCAATGCAACGGGTCCACGTATGCAAATGGGCTGCAGAAAGAATAGCACTGATTACAGCAGGGTTTAAACAAAACATAGAAATAATTGCTCTGGTACCAGCCCAAGATGTTATGAATACAGCACAAATGTTAAACAAGTAGTTACCTAAGGCCAAATAGTGAGCCACACCAGCTCACCTATACTTCATCTAGAGTTGCAATTTTGTAGCCTGACAAGCCATCTTTTATATGCAAACATATAGTCTGGCCACGACTCATTGAAATATCCCACACAGCGAAGCGGAATCGACAGTTATCTATCAAACTGTCTCTGCATGTGAATGGTGAGTGCTAGGACCATTCACAGCAACAAACAATATGACTTACTCACCTCTACGGATGTCAGTCAACGGGGCAGTCCGTCATACACTGTCGAAGAAGACGTGAATTTATCCTATTTCTAAATAAAGGGCTTAAGTACCTCCATCTGCTCTAGACTCAAAGAAAAATTCATTCCATAGTCCAAAATTGATGCCAAAGCCGTTTTAAACGGTGTTGTTTCCATATTTGCGGTTGTTCTATACCACAGCTCTAATGTTAAGCCCACCCAACAAACATAGAGCACTGTGATTGGCCAGACACAATACTGCTCAGGCCAATGGTAGACCCGCTGAGTCTGCAATGGAGCGGGGCAAGACTAAGCTATAGAGAATTTTTTTTTTTGCAACTGCTACGGCCGACCTAGATCCCAGATGACCATGCTCACATGGGTCAAACAGCGCAAAGGTATTACATTTTTGAAGGCAAGTATTGTTGAAATGTCACTATATTCATTCATATCAGTGAGCAGAGAAAGATACATTTGAGGTATTTTGGCCACTGCAGGCCCCTGTAACCACTATCTGAGGAGTTTGGTCCATGTCTCACTCCATTTAAGGATCAAACCACGATGTGGCTGCCATGAGGAAAAGTCTCACTGAAACGCGATCAAATGTCCTGAAAGAATTAAGAACCACGCAGCCAAACGCAAAGCTTACAGTATAACATTGACTCTGAGATTTCTATTAAACTAGAAAACAACTTTCCTGATCAAGGGGCAGTGTGGGAATACAAGGAATGACAAGGAGCTGCAGCAAAATAGAATTAGTCACACCTGCTAGCTCTAGAAATGTACTGGTTGTATATTCATGTTGATATAAATGTTACTGGGTCATCTTTTATTTAAAATTATATCAATATTTAAAAAACAATGAGATATTTATATAGTCATATTGAATAGCATATAATACTATTCATACTCACTGCATTATAAATCCATGAGGGGCAGATGGCGTCTTGCTGTAATGTGTAAAACATGTAATCATTTATTGGTGAATTTGTCCACTGTGGGATCAATGAAGTCTATTCTATTCTATTATTTATGATCAATAAACACCTGTAACAGGGCCGAGTCTCACTATATATCTAGAATTTTCCCACACAAAAGGTTTTAACCACTTCCTAGGTGGAAATAGAGCAGTCCCAATGGTTGTTACGTTTCTGCTGTGTGCGAGCGTTCTTTTTCACTTTCGTTTTTGTCCATGCTGGTCACGCTGTTGTCTTTTTGTTTTTTATAGGTGGTGTTGGGGACGTCTTTACGGGGGGTTAACTGGGGTTAATTGTCAAACTGGTTAATCCTTGCAAAGCTACAGGTGTAAACTTGTAAACGGACGAGGATGGGAGTAATGTGACAGTGTCTGGAGGTATTTGTGGAAAATCTACCTGCTGATACATGAAAATTTGAATTTGCGTCCATCTGTTGTAGGCTTCACCTAAGCTCATTCTGATTTTGTATCTTTTATGGCCGCTCCTCTTCAGAGAAGGATAATAAAGTCTTCTGGGCACAGAAGCAGTTGCTTGACTTGCCTAGTCCGCCATTTTCCACTGGCAAAAGGGGGCTCTGCCAGCCGCTGACCCTGTGCTCTGAGTGTGCTTGAGTTTTGTTTGTTGTCTGTTTATTTTTTAACTATTTAACAACTTTTTACTACTTTTTAAAAACCGTTTAACTATTTCTTCGTGGATCTGTCATTTATTGTGGATTGAATAAAGTTTTGGTGGATCAACATGAACCTTGCAAAGTTGTGGCTATTCCTTTGCCTGCTGGTACTCGCTCCCCGCAGTCACGACCAGAAAGAATGCCTACACGCGTGAACACCTGCTGTCATTACGCCCTGCTGGGTCACAACTTATCAATTTACCTACAGACTGCAGTGAAATTCTGCGAACTGGAAGCCAGCCACTGAAGGGAAAGAAAGGAAAAAAGAAGCGAGGCTCGAGAGGAGGAGTGAGGCAACGACTATGGAAACGCAGAAGCTGATTCCCACTGCTGGTCATCACCCTCGCTAACGTGCGCTCCGCAAGCAACAAGCTGGATGAACTACAACTTAGATCAGTTCACGACTGTGAGTTCAGACAGAGCAATCTGGTCTGCTTTACTGAAATATGGCTCAAAGAACACCATGCAACCCCGAGCCTTCAGGGTTATATGACAATACGCGCAGAGATGAGCGCACCTCATTTAAATCTGTCGGAACGGGGTTATGCATGTTTGTGGACAATGGGTGGGCTACACAGTACACTATTCGCGACAAGATCTGCACACCAGACTATGAGATTTTAACTGTCTCATTTAGACCTTTTGATTTACCCAGAGAGTTCGGACGAAAAACTGTAATCCTCACATATGTACCTGGACCGAATGACGAGGCCGCCAGAGCAAAAATTGTTGAGGGCTATAATAAGGCGCTCACCCACTCTGCTGATAAGACTGTCTTGATTCTTGGGGATTTTAATTCTTGTGACTTATCGGAGCACCTTCCCAATGCTGAGCAATATGTGTACTGTCCCACTTGCATCAAAAGAGCCATTGAACGCTGCTATGGCAACATTCCAGGAGCATTTCAATTCAATTCACTTCAAAAATACTTTATTAATCCCAGAGGGAAATTGATTGCTGTAGTAGCTCAGGATAATAATAATAATCAAGCCATCAAAGAGTTATTGTATATTACAATGGCTGTTGGCAGGAAGGATCTCCAGTAGCGGTCATTGTTGCAGCGAAACTGAAGAAGCCTCTGACTGAAGACACTCTTCTGTTGTCGGACAGTCTTGTGAAGAGAATGCTCAGGGTTGTCCATCATTTTCTTGATTCTCTGGAGAATCCTTCTTTGCATTATCTCCTCCAGTGGTTCCACAGTCGTCCCCAGAACAGAAGCAGCCTTTTTTATTAGGCTATTGAGCTTTTTCAGGTCCCTGCTTCTGATGCTGCTACCCCAACAGACAATGGCTGAAGAGATTACACTCTCAACAACAGACTTGTAGAAGATCTGCAGCATCTTGCTACAGACGTTGAAGGACCTAAGTGTCCTCAAGAAGTGCAGTCTACTGTGTCCCTTCTTGTAAACAGCTTCGCTGTTCTTTCTCCAGTCCAGTCTGTTGTCCAGGTGAACTCCAAGGTATTTGCATTCCTCAACCACCTCCACTTCTTCTCCCATGATGGAAACAGTGTTTGACTCCACCCTGTTTCTTCTGAAGTCTAAAATCATCTCCTTTGTTTTGTTCACGTTCAAGGTCAGATGATTGTTTCAACACCATGCCACAAAGTGCTCCACCAGCTCTCTGTACTCAGCTTCCTGTCCATCTCTGATACACCCGACAACTGCAGAGTCATCTGAGTATTTCTGTAGATGACGTGTCTCTGATTTGTACTGGAAGTCTGATGTGTACAGGGTGAAAAGGAATGGTGAGAGTACAGTCCCCTGTGGTGCTCCAATGTTACTGATCACCTGGTTTGATGTGCAGTTCTTCAGCCTCACAAACTGTGGTCTGTTTGTCAGGTAGTCTTTAATCCAGGCGATAGTTGAGGCCCCCACCTGTGTCTTCTGGAGTTTCTGGCAAAGTACATCAGGCTGGATTGTGTTAAAAGCACTGGAGAAATCAAAGAACATGACCCTCACAGTGCTGCCTGCTTTGTCCAGATGACAGTGGATTGGTTGAAGCAGCTGGATGATGGCATCTTCAACTCCAACTCCATGGCGATAAACAAACTGCAGCGGGTCCTGATATGTTCTAGTTTGCTTATTCAGGTGCACCAACTGGATTCTCTCCAGGACCTTCATGATGTGGGATGTCAGGGCAACCGGTCTAGTCGTCATTGACTGATGGGCGAGTTTTCTTTGGAACTGGAACAAGGCAGGATGTCTTCCACAGGACTGGAACCTTCTCCTGGGCCAGGCTGAGGTTGAAGAGGTGCTGCAGAATCCCACAGAGCTGCTCTGCACAGGCCTTCAGTACTCTGGGGCTGACACCATCCGGACCTGCAGCCTTGTTCCTATTCAGTCTCTCCAGCTGCCTCTTCACCTGACTTCTAGAGAGAGACAGGTGGGAGGGGGAGGTAAATGGGGCAGCAGCATCTCCTGACTTGGTTGAAGACATATTTATAGAACCAGAAGAGTCCATGACTGCGTTAGAGGACAAAAGAGGTGGCGTGTGACAGGAAAATGTTGGATCAGAGGAGGATGGGATGTCTGATTGGCTGGGGACAGGCGAGGAGGATGCTGGGTTTGTTCCTGAACTGAACCTATTGAAGAACTTGTTCAGTTCATTGGCTGTGTCTAGGCTGCCATCTGTGCAATCCTTCCTCTGCTTGAAGCCTGTGATCTTCTTCATCCCTGACCAGACATCTCTGATATTGTTCCTCTGTAGGTTGTTCTCCAGCTTCTTCCTGTATGCCTCCTTGCTGTCTCTGATCTTGATCTTCAGTTGCTTCTGTATGCTCCTCAATACTCAATTTAAGGCAATTTGCAGACCTCCTTTGGGGAAGTCCGATCACAATGTAATTAATTTATTGCCAAAATATAGGGCAGTGGTGAAGAGGCTGAAGACCATCATTAAAGAAATACATGTGTGGTATGAAACAGTTAGAGACTGTTTTGATGAAACAGACTGGGATATATATATATATATATATATATATATATATATATATATATATATATATATATATATATATATATTCAGTCTTGTAATGATGCCCACAAACTAACAGACTCTATCACTTCTTATATTAAGTTTTGTGACAAAAATGTGTGTATAACTAAGAAAGTGAAAGTATTCCCAAATAACAAGTCCTGTCCTAAAAGATTGAAAACCTGTCTCAACGAGCGGAAACTTGCATTCTGTGCAGTGACAACGATCTGCAGCATGAGAAAAGGAGACAGTTAAGAGGAGACATTTTTAAAGCAAAGACTGATTTTAAAAATAAAATAGAGGGCAGATTCAGTACCGGGAACGTCAGGCAGGCGTAAGAGGGATTGAACATTTTAATGGGGAAACCTGTTAAACAAGAAGTAAGCCCTCACAGTTTTAAAACTACTGTAGATGAACAGAATCTATTTTATTGCAGATTTGATACGGCAGCCTGTGAGCAAGAGAGTGATAAGTTGTGTGAAAATCTCTCCCAGTGCAGCTCCCAATAACTATTAAGGAGCATGATGTTGCAAAAAGCGTTTCTAAGTTAAAACTAGGGCTACACGATATTAGGAAAACCTGCGATATTCGATAACAGTGCATAATATTGCAATATCGATATTACTCACGATAAACGAACAAATACTAAAGTATGCCGTGTTGATGTCGTCTGGCGTGTGACGTCTGCTCTGGGTTCAAAGCAAACAAAAACTAATGCATGAATTCCATTACAACATAACATTTTTATTGCAAAAATATGCAGCTGCACCTGCTACTGTATTAGCAGCAAAAAAACAAACTGCATGCATGCAGTTTCTCAGTGGCTTTAAAACATCACCTCCACCATGAAACTTTTTCTGATGCTCCAAATACAGAAAAATATCCCTTACCAGGGTTTTTGAATAAATAAAATCAGAAAATAAGTTTAAATGTTAAATAATAGTTAACATCACTTAAATGCAACAGCAAATTCTCTCATTGCTACTGAACATTTTCTCCACTTATGTGGTTATGATATAAGGCTGTTGCTGCTATTGGGAAGTGAACTGTGCTGGGCCAAACTAGGAGAATATTAAGATTTTCTGAGGGAAAGAGAAAAACAATTGTCTACCTTTCAGAAGAGGAACTGGCAAAAAAACTACATGGAGAATATATGAAAACATTTATTTTTAACCCCAAATTGAACAAGTTTACCTAGATCTTAAAAAGCAGCTCAGATGATGAAACTGCAACTATGATTCTGATAACAAGCTAACAAATTGAACTAGCTCCTCTTAAGATAACTGGCTAGCAGAGCTTCTGACTGACAGTTTGTGTGCAGCAGCAAATCAATGATCCTGATTAACAAGGTTATAAAAGCTCATAAATGAAAAATCACTTTGATGTGTGGGGGAACTTTTCCAGGCCGTCTTTAGCAGGGTGGGACTGGGAGGAGAGTGCTGTAGCCTTTTTACCAGAAGCTAACCGGAGCCTGGGGCTAACGTCACCACCCGGTGGAACACTAGCAACATGGAGGTAGGTGGGTTGGTTCACCGGCACGTGTCGGAGTCAGCCCGGTTATTATCTGCTGCTTAACGACACCGAGCAGACTCAGGTTCACGTTTGAAAGCAGCGCTGATTCCAGAAACCTCAGCACAAAGTGCGTTCGTTAATCTGAGCCAGCATGACGAACAAGGGAAGCGAGTGGCAGCGGAAAGCGGGGGCGGAGCGGAGATAGTGGAATTTTGGGGTAAGGGTCTACGTAAGGGGCGGGCGTATTACGTGAACGGACCCATCTGATTGGCCGCATATCAGAGGGGCTATATTTGATTGGTCAAATAATACTTCCGCGTAAAAAACAGAGCTCGTTTACAAAAAGTTCATGTATGACACAGATGGAAATGTTTGAACCAAACATTTATCGCTGTTTTTGACGTGCTTTGCGATGGGCCTATCCCACGTCCTGTTATCCTGTTATAATTTTTCGATATATTGTGCAGCCCTAGTTAAAACCTAATGAGGCCACAGGGCTAGATGGCCTCAAAGCGCGTCTGCTAAAAGACTGTGCTCAACAACTAAAGGGAGTTTTCACACAACTGTTTTAATACCTTCTAAGCTTGGGGAGGTACCAAAAGCCTGGAAAGTCTCAATAATACAACCAGTCCCAAAAAAGATGGGTGCTACTGCTCCTAATGATTTCAGGCCAATTGCCCTCACCTCTGTAATAAGTAAGACAATGGAATGGGTCCTTGTCAACCATCTAAGTAGCTCGGTTGCTAATGCGCTGGACCCACTCCAATTTGCATACAGAAGTAAGAGAGGCACTGGGGATGCTGTGCTGACTCAGCTGAATGCAGGTACAAAACACGATGAGTCCAGCAAACTCTGTGAGAATATTATTTGTTGACTTTTGTTCTGCTTTCAATTCAATGAAAACCCACATTTTTTTTAAAGAGGCTCACTGATCTTAACGTTAACGTCAGTCTGATCCATTGGATCAGAGACTTTTTAACTTGTCGCCCACAGACGGTCTACGGGGGGGGGGGGGGGGGGTCTCTGAGGTACTCACAGTGAGCACTGGTTGTCCCCAGGGCTGTGCTCGTTCGCCTGTGTTCTCTTTTTACAAATGAATATGTTAATTAAGTAAGCTGATGACAAGGCTTTGGCCGGATTAATGGAAAAACAAGACTCTAGGGGAGAAGCAATGTTTTTATGACATATTAAGGCCTTGAAATCATGGTGTGGTCAGAGTGAGCTGGAGATCAATGCAGCCAAGACCAAGGAGCTTGTATCTCTGAAACAAGCCTTTACTGTGGAACCAGTTTCATTTTCTGACCAGTCTGTTGAACGTGTGGAACACTTAAACACTTAGGCTCATTCTTAGACTGTCGGCTCAGTTTAGCCAAAAACACTGACTACATCAATAAGAAATGCTCACAGAGACTATCTTTTGAGAAAGCTCAGAAGTCTAGGTGTCAGTCAGCAAACCCTAGAGCTTGTTTAGAAAGCAACAGTGGAGAGCGTTCTGATTCTAGACCTCCCAGCCTGGTCTGGTCATGTGAACTGAAAATCCAAGGCCAAACTCCTGCGAATTGTCTCATGGGCAGACAAAATAGTTGGCAGACCACAAAAAACTATCTCCCAGTTGGCTGCTGAAAGGGTGAGGAAAACTGCAAGGAATATTGTAGCAGACCGCAGTCGTCCTCTCTTCTGTCAGTTTGAACCCTTGAGTTCAGGAAGGCGTTTTAGGGTGCCTCTTGCAACCAAAAGCATATATAAAAATCATTCGTACCAAGTGCTGTACTGATCCTTAACCAACGTAAATGATGAGACCCAACCAGAGCACACAGTGTCATGAATGTTTGTATGGATGAATGTTTTTAGCTCTTGAGAGCCGAAGGAAAACTTCCACCACGGTGGACAATAAAGTTTTATTCTATTCTATCAGCCTTGCTGTGCTGAGCACTGTTTTGCAACCTGCAATGGTGCCCTCTATTGGTTGCTAGATGTAATCATAAACCCAGTGTTGTGCCCACCAAAATAAATATTTCATTTTTTTAAATTAAGATGTAGCTTTTAAAGGAAGTACTGTAGCTTCATTCTCCACACCTCTAAATGCCCCGTGGCTGTCTTGATTTTGATAAATATGGCTTTTTATGAAATTGTTCCATATTCAGCCTTTAATATTTAATAGTGCCAAACTTTCCCGATGATGAAAACGAAAAAATATGTTACGTACCTGAAGAACTCAAAGTTCAGGCATGCCTTGGGAAGGAAGAATTTGTCGTCCTGTTTAAACCACACCTTACTCATAGCAGTGTCCTGGAAGAACCCAACATTGATTTTTTTTAAATTCCATGTTAAACTCGAAGAAAACCTGTGAAGAAAACCTTTGAAACATGAACAGAGACAAAGCACGTGCAGATAAAGCATGAACTCTTGCCTTGATTAAAGTGGGAACTGAAGGAGAATCTTTTTCCAGAGGGTAGATCTCAAAGTTAGTGGGGATGAACTCATTTTTCATCGGTAGTTTGAATTTGCCGTTGAGGTCTGCACTTGCCCATTTCTGAAAAATAAACATGCAATTAGTTGTCCCACACAGCAGATGACCTTTAACCCCAGATTGTGGGTAATTTCAAGGGAGGACAACAACCAAACCCACTAACCCTGATGGTGTCTTCAGAAATGTCTTCTTGCTTGTACTGTGTGCCATACCACTCCTCCACTTTGTCTGTTTGGCCTTCAAATGATTTTGACACCACAGCAACTCTGGACAGAAAAAGTATGAATATACATATTTATTCAGTTTCATTGAATTGAAAAGATTATATTACGCTATGAAAAGATGGGTTTGTCAAATCTTGAAATGTAGGTGAAAATTTTCAAACAACCTGTTGCTGTCTGAAGTTAATGCAGGATTGATTGATTTACTGCTTGATAAACTTTATTGATCCCACAGGGAAAAATTCTCAGGGAAATTCCGTTTCCAGTCGCAGTAGCGTCGACAAACCACCATGCCAAGAAGCAGCATGGCCCAAAGCAGCACAACAACAAACGATAATACCACAACAGTTAACAATAACCATGATATTTCCATATTTACGAATTTATTGATGAATCCAAAAAGTAAGTAAAAGCTTACAAATTATTCGTTGCCCAATATTGCCAACACATCTGATTGGCCGCATATCAGAAGGGCTACATTTGATTGGTCAAATAATACCTCTACATAAAAAACAGAGCTGGTTTACAAAAAGTTGATGTTGTGTGGGCTTTTTCTGTTATTCTTAAAGAAAAGAGTCGGACACTGCTTTTAGCTCCTACAATGTATGACACGGATGGAAATGTTTGAACCAAACATTTATCGCCGTTTTTGACGTGCTTTGTGATAGGGGTTGCATGACTTAATTTTTTTAAAAGTCGACAGTCAAGTAATGAAAATCGAGTCGACTTCCGACTAATCGTTGATGACGTCATACAACTGAAGCGGCCGGGGGGGGGGGGGGGGGGGGGGGGGGGGGGGGGTCGGTTGGTTCGCTGGAGTTTGACAATTAAAATCGCGCCCACATTTTCAAAGTTAAACATCTCTTTTAACAATGGTAGTTTCTGCTTAAATACACTGTTCCTGCTTCAGCCCCCTCCCCCCTCCCCCTGTGCAGCGGCCGCAAACTCACTGATGCGCCTGCAGCCTCTCACGAGTTCCTGCTGCTCTAAACATTAAAATAATTATTTCATTTTCTGTTCCTCACTTCTGATTACCTTCAATGGTGTCTGTTTGTTGTAACCACCAGGTACAAAAACGAATTTGTTTTTATTTGACTATTTTTCTGTCCTGTCTGTTTATTATCTTCCTGCATCTCCTCGCAATCCTAAAGAAAAAACTGCTACCTGGGTTCAGCCTCATGAGTTACCTTTGAACTGCAGTTCTAAAAGATTCACCGACCACAAAAACAGCGGAGTGCGAGCTGCTCGCCGGCCGCAGTGCGTCACCGGAGGACAAAACAGATGATGCGCCCCGCTCCACAGCAGCAGGGTGCATCAGGCAAAAATAAAAGACAGAAAACATAAAAGGAAATGAGCCGACATGAACGATCGCGTTATATTTGTTTTTGAGTGGTGACACCTGATTTGATAATGTTACTGTGGCCGTGCTCAGGACGCAGATGTCTGGAGCGCGTCAATGATCAGAGCTTTGCATGCGCAAGCTGGTTAAGGTTAGGATGGGGGGTGAGGGGAAGGTTAAATTGCAAGAGGGGAAAAGGTCAGAATTTGGTTAAATGTCCGTTTTACGGCGGGTGTCAGTACCGACGCTCTGGCACAGCACATCGCCTCCGCCTCGATCCAGACGCGCAGGGGCTCGTCACCTGCTGTCTTTTCCGAGGACTGCATCTCGTCATTATCATGTGACAGCGACTAGTCGATGACAGGCATAAAAAGTCACTACAGAGCAGTAAGGTCGACTAGTCGACTAGTTCATACAACCCCTACTTTGCGATGGGCCTATCACACGTCCGGTTATCCCAATGACGATAATTTTTCGATATATTGTGCAGCCTTAATGGACGCAGTCTCTTAAATTCAATTCAATACAATTCAAAAATACTTTATTAATCCCATAGGGAAATTGATTAATCTTGACTCGCTCCATCTGGCAGGAGGCTCTGACCCCATTCAGACCAGAACCTCTCTCCACAAAAACAGTTTTTTTCCCCTCTGCGGTCAGACTCATGAATGTCAATCATAGAATTGTCCACTCCAGCTGCTTTGTTCCAGTGACATGACCCTAGTGTTGCATTTGCCACCTGAACTTATCCTGACCAGTACCTACACAGACTTGTATATATCAGCCACTTCTCTAATTATTGCCTCATTATCATGTCATTATGATTATTTCCTAAATAATAAATTTTGCTTATCATTTTTTTTCTTACAGTATCACTATAGAACTCCGGACGTCACGCGACTCTCAGAGAGTAGACGCCATGTTGGCAGGCAACAAAGGTAAAGAAAATGAACGGGATCGGCTTGGATTTTGCTCTGTCGGGAGTTTACTTCACACTTTGAAACCAAATAAATCATTTATATAGTCAGAAATTAAATAGATTAAACATCTTCGACCCTTACCATGCCCCTGGGTTACTTTTTAAAAATGCCAGAAGCTGTCGGAGCAGACATGGCCAGGGAACGCCTTGGGATTTGCCCGGAGGAGCTGGCCCAAGTGGCTGGGGAGAGGGAGTCTGGGCCTCTCGACTTAGGCTACTGCCCCGCGCGACCCGACTCCAGATAAGCGGATGAAAATGAATGATGGATGGATGGACAAATAACATAGATTTACATGTAAGAAGTTTAAATCGAGTGCTGTGCTGTTTGAATGTATAAACTGAACGCCAAGAGAAATCACTAGTCTTATTTTTTTTTCTGTGAATAAAATAAATATGTCAGGCAGGAGCATCTCAGGATCTGT